CTGAATTAGAGCAAATTTCCATCTGCCGCCAAAAAGTTTGTATGGTAGCCATATTAAAAAATGGCGATAAACTAATGCTGATCACAAATTATTATCAAGCACTCCTAGAGACTCCCACATGACAATTTTGGAAGGGATCAGAATAATTATTTTTCTACTGCCAACAAACGCTTGTATGGCGGCCATATTTGAAAAAGGCGAAAAACCAATTTTGTGCACAAATTATTATTTGGCACTTCTAGAGGCCTCCTCATGCCAATTTTCAGCTGAAATAGAGCTAGTCTCGTTCGGCGGCTATTTTTAAGGAAAAAAACACTTATATGGCAGCCATACTAAAAATGGCTACATAAAACTTTTATCCCCAAATTATGATTAAGGACTCCTAAAAATGTCGCATGTCAATTTTCAGCCGGATCGAAGCAAGTTTTTCTTCGGCCGCCATTTTAAATTCGCCATCTTGAATTTTTTTTTAATCCAGTTGACCAAAGTTACCCTCTATGACATTCCTTCGAGCACCTCCTACCTGTCTCTAATAGTTTCCGTTATATAAAACCTTGAAATGTTGTATGGCAGCCATCTTGTTTCTTTGAATTTTGAAATTTTTTACTTTTTCCAGAAATTAACCAAGGTGTGTCTCATGAAAGTCACACAAATATCCCCCCATGTGTTAGTTTTTGCAGGCCGTTGATCACTCGTTTACATTTTCCACATTCAGGTTTTCTCATATTTGATTCTTTGCCTTGGAGCCTATTCGCGTACAACGGTATAAATAAGTTTTTTCCACCATATCGGGAAGTATGCGTTCTATTTTTCTAAGTGAGTCAGGATTTGTAGCTTTATATATATACATATATTGTAAATATAATGTATGGTTTCATACATTCTTCGGGATAAACCTGCGCACGTGGCGATGTACTTTAGCCATGTGCCACACTTTTATTTAAACATGTAATTTACACTCTATCTAGACGTAGTACGTACGTTACCAACTGTTCACCGATACACTACATCAAGAAAAGATTTGCCACCATAACACCTTTAGTTTATGCCAATATACTTTTACCATTTCCTTTTCAAGTCTTTCTCTGTGTACTACCACTACAATCCATGTATAGAGTAAGGCAGGGTGGCCTATACATTACTCCGTACATATAGTGTAATTAATGAACAACTTATAATTATTTCAAATTACCTTAACTGGCTAATACCAAAAAATATGACACTATTCATCTACGACCGCTTACTGCGATAAACTGTCAACAACAACTGGCCAGGTAATCATTATTGGCAGTTTTCATTTACCTATTGGTAATCTCAGGTGTATCATTTCTATTTGTCGATAAGAACAATCATTGAGATAACCGATTTGTTTGCACCTAAGTAGAAGTTTATATTATACAGGCGACTATACTTTCAGAGGTGCCCTTTTGAAAACTTGGGATTATTCAGACTCTTCATGTTAGAGCTTAAAAAACATTTATTTATATTTCACATAGGTATTTAGTTATAGTGTTATTTTATACATTTATTTCATTATATATTTTATATTTATATGTATTAGTTTATCATATTTTTTTAATATTATATATTCGTGTGTACATTTGATATAATAAATTTATTCTTTAATTATTGAGTATCTAACATTCAATTTAATGATTGATTAGATTTTATTGCCGACTCAGGAGCCAACTTTCCTTTCAATTATTCAAAGGTTAGCTGGAAGAAATTCCTTTATGGGGTCTCTCTCGGCTCGGCTCGCACTTTACTGCACAAAGTGCAGTAACGTTCTATGTCTTTGTTAAAAATTTATAATTTGTTTGTGTTGTACAATAAAGTGTTTACATACATACATACAAGTGCACGGCGTGCCTCCTACGGGTAGGTACTGATCAAAGAGAAATAACCGAAATTTTGTTTTGCTAAATGAAAGTGGAGCATATACGTTTGTAATCTGCTTCCAAGTCATTTGAACGCATACTGATTGAGCTCAATTTAGTGTTGTGTTTTGTTTACTGTGTAATCATAATCATACAATATGAAAATGTACTTAATTACACACAATAGGTTTTTGTAAAACAACACTAAGTAATGGTTTATACCGGCTCCGATTACTGCAAGAAATATAACTTTCTAAATACCATATTGTCATAATTACATTCAATTTTATATGCGACCCGGTATATATTTTTTAGTTACATTTTATACTCACGTCAATTGCAACAATATATTGTGTATGTACATGTATGTACGTAAGCACTTCATACTTGGATATATGCGGTCGCTCAACGATTGATGACGCATTCTGTTGTATACTTTTGTAACATGTAGTTTTTATAATAAATATTATAATATAGTGAGGGTTCTGTTTATACAAACCAGATCTATCCCTGAACCTTCGCTGTAATATAGGATCGAACGCCGACCCCATCGTTGTCAATTTCATAAACAGGTTTAGTCACTGTCTATGAGTAACTCAAAGACATTTCGTTCCTTCTTGCTTTTGATCATATCGATTGCCTAAGCGGACACCACTTGTAATTTTCAGTTTATGTGGCACTCCAGTAGTTTTCACTCCTTCATATTTGTTGTTCTAATTATGTAATATTTACAGGCGCTATTTGTTATTGTGTAGTCGGATTTACCAATTTTGTGTTTGTTGGAAACATTTTTACTTCTAGATGATGTAGGTTGTACTTTATTATTTCCAACACCAAGACTTTATGATAATCGTATTACAGATTTATAAAGGACAGAATATCCACTCATTAGGTTAGGTTAGTTAGGTATGTAATTGGTATTTTAATATAGTGAGAAAAACATTTACTTAAAATAACCCAAATGTGAGATGCTGCTTACACAAAAATGCGATTTGCAGATCATGGCGTATTGCGAAAGAAAGGGTTTGCACTGCTGCATTAATAATGTAAAGTTACTCAACATATGTCTGATTTTAAATTATTATTATTTTAAATATATTTTCAAAATCTATTTTGCTTTTGCTTTAAGCAACAAATCTACTCTGATTATCAATTTTTGGGTACCGTTACTCACACATTAGAGTAAAACCGGGATAGATGCCCCACTTTTTGAAAGGGCCTCCTAATTTAAAAATTATGTATTTTACCATGAACAATTCCTATGTATATAACTAGTTTAATCTTTTACATTACATTAATACTTGATTTTATTCCTCTAACATTTGCTGATTTTGAGGAAAGATTTTGACTTTTTGCAAACCTATTTTTTTGAGGATAGATGCCTACCTATATGGATAGACGCCACACAATTAAAATACTAAGAAGGATAGATGCCCTTTAGAATAAAATAGTAAAATTCATAATAAAATGTTTTATTTGTAATCTTTAATATATTGTATATACACATTACATCTTTAATAATAAATATATACGTATTTAAAGTTACTACCTACTTCACTTCGTATTTTTGTAGCTATCAAAACATTCTATACAAAAATGTTCGCTGTTTAAACCATTTTAAAACTGTGAATAATTTGTCTTTTTGGTACTTTTACTTACTTTTAAACTATTATCATTTATTTGTCTTTCACTAAAATAATGTTTTTTTTTTCTAACTTTTTTGTATTGTCCTTTGCCGCTAAGGGCACCTATACAGCGAAAAATCGAGGCGTCTATCCTATTCGATATGGGTAAATGTCCTTTTATTATATAACTAAGCTATATACAAAAGAGCGATTGTTGACACTTAAGTGCGCAGTTAATGAACCAGTGTATAGTTATAATAAAAATAAAACGGAATTTATTATAACTTACAAAGTTATGCGACAGTAAATACTTGCGTCTGAAATTTTGAACTGTTTATCGTGTTCGTCGCGGAGATAAACGCATGCACAAGCCAAACGCGTCTATTCCACGCAAAGCCCTGCAGGAACTTTGATGAGTGGTGTCTACACTCCTTAATTAAACTAATTATTCTTTGTTGCGATTTGGGGAAGTTAGGTTGTTTGAAAACGAGGCACCTATCCCGGTTTTACCCTATGTGTAGTCGTAGGTACACATGGTAATTTGTAGTTCTTAAAATGATTTGATTTACAATGCAAATCAGCAATTTCAATAAAGGCAGTACCGACTACACAACAGCTAGAATATTTATTTTGGTAAGTATTAGTAGGCACTTGTATTTTTACTAGTTTCGCCAACGGTGTCAGTTCGTTTGTATCATTTCTCGAGCTATTAGAATATGACACGGATATAGTAGGGGAGAGCGGGGCTGAAAGTGCCGATTTTGACAAATACTTAAATAAAGTTGGGATAAACGACTGCTACAGCTAGTAGTAGTAGCCTATCTTATATAAAATTTAACCTAGATTTCGAATGTATGTGAAGTTTTTGTGTATTTTTTATAGTTTTTTGTTGATCATTATTATTATGAATAGCGGTCGTAAGGCACTACAGACCCCTCTCGGGGGCAAGTTGTGCCCT